AGGTGGGGCGGGGCGCAGCCGGCCGCCAGCCGGGGAGCTGTGAGGTGTGGGCCGAGCGAGCTCTGGACGGCCGCTTCACGAGCGAGTTCACGAGCAAGGTTTGGACGGCCGTTTCACGAGCGAGCTCTGGACGGCCTCCTCACGAGCGAGTTCTGCACGGCCGCTTCACGAGCGAGCTCTGGACGGCATTCAGAGTCGGGGCACATCCCCCCCGTGACAGTCTGCCGCTCTCCGGACGGCGTACATGTGCCGACCGCGTCATCATGTCGATAGAGCCAGTCCGAGGACTGGCGGGAATGAACGAAGGCTGCTTGGATCGTTTGGAGGTGGCTATTTGCGAGAGTGGTCGCTACGCCTCCTCGTTCGTAAGGATGCGTTAGTTTTAAAGTGACGCTTAAACGAAATACCTACCTGCGCAACTCTCCTAGTACGGTCAAGCCGGCACCCAGGGTAGTTTCAGGTGGGGCTCAGCTAAAGCGTGTATTTCTGCCAAGATTATTCCTTGTGAGGCAATTCATGATGATTATAAAATGTTATGTAAATTCGTCATTCAAAGCTATTTTTCATGTGCCTCAAATTGATAGGTGTCACTCTGCCGATCTTTTGATTAACAGCATCTATTACCGGCAGCCCAAGGAACTTTTTTGTGACGGGGGGGAGGGGGGGGGGGGGGGAGGAGTGGAGGAACGTGCTTGAAGAATCACCGGCGAAACAGTTGCAATCACAAAGTTATTCTTATTCTCCACATTTCATGGCTGAATTTCCCATGTCGGCGTGGCGTTTTCAAACATTGTTTCTTGTATTTGCTGAGTCACGAGACGCTGATGTTATCCACGGGTCAAAGACGTGCATTTGCATTTTCCCCAAGCATTATGCAAATGTAAAACGCATTCCTGGCCGTGATATCCTTGCCATAACTCCTCCGAGAGAGGCCCAGATACGATCGCCCGGGGAGAGCATTTTCAATCCCGTGCCTCGCGAGAGGATGGAAGTGGCAGTGGTCCATGGGCCGATCGAGACCAGATAGAACGGCGTGGTAGAACACGACAGATCTACTCCAAAACTGGCCATCATAAGACAGTCCATAATGCATGATTGACTTCGTCTGAACTCGGAGTTGGCAGCAGTAGAACTGAAACCATTGAAGTTAGCCGCGAATTGTGACAGGTCATCGGACCGTGTGAACCAGAAACGTCTAGAAAAGGACGGGTCAGGCTCACCGACAACGAGATCCAGGCACGCGTGAATCGAACAGCACACAAGCTCCGGTGCCAATGTTGCTGACCTCAGACGACGAGGCGCGCATCTGTCGCGTGACCTGGTGTACGCATCACATTCCACTTGCCAGGCGAGCACAACTTACGCTGAAACTGACGCATTGTGGACTCACGTCCATTGAGATACCCGGAGCTTAACTGACCAGTTAGGAACCGTCAATATGTCGCTTTGAAAGTGGCATTGCTTGGTGTAGGCAAAAAAACCCCGTGCGCTCCTGGTTTTTAGTATCATAGGGTATCACGAGCGTATGTGCTGACAGTTATCGACCTTTGGTGTATCAGGAGATACCGTCTAAATAACATTATCAGGAAAAATAGTTTTACTGTCAATATTCGACGATTCAAGCTTTGCTTGTGAACCCAGCATTGGTAATGTAAAAAAAATGTTCGCTTGCTAACATCGTTTATCACCAGTGTATCCTGGACTGTTGAAGGTCGATAACTCGTAGCATAATAATTCTGCGCTTGCTGAGTGATATTTTTAACGACAACGCAAAATCAACGGGAACCCCATAGCAAGATCTCAGCTAATTGGCATGATATGCAGGATTATCTAAGAGACCGACGAACGTGACGCATATCAACATGCATAACTGTGCATTTAGAGCCAATGTTAGGTATGTATTACGCGGGGCGTAAACTTCAGTAGTCAATGGGACAGCTGAAGTATCATAAGTGACTGTAAAACTACATGTTATCGATTGATGAGGCCTCATTGAGCACGATTGCGTGGAACTACAATCTTAGGGTCCATCTGGGACATATACCTATATTCTGAATCCCGTACTGATTGTCATGACACCAATTTAAATAATCCAAATCCGGTTGAATCACCGAACGGAAATTATCCGCGACTTTTACTGTGTACAGCCATCAGCGGTCAAAGCACAGCCACATTTTTTCCGAATTGTTTTCGTCACGTGTTAAGGGAACTGAACGTTTTTGTCAATACATGCGTGCAGGCTTTGCGGGAAGCGTGTTTTATCTAGTTGTGTGTGTTTTGTTTCGGGTGCGTGCAGTGTAGCCAGGACACCGCATGATGCAGTGTTGCGCATTCCACATTGCATGTCTCTGTTATACTTTGTTTTATTATTTACTAGGCATGCAAGTGCGTAATAACGAAGTTGCTACTGTCGTTGCAAAAGTCTTGCCATCTTCGCATCCCCTGCAAGTGTGTAATAACGAAGTTGCTACTGTCGTTGCAAAAGTCTTGCCATCTTCGCATCCCCTGCGTTGCGCGTTTTATTTGTTGTGTAAGATCGCATAACAACGTGTTTTCTAAAATGCGTCCTGCTGATAAATCCCTTAAAGACCACTATAATGAGTTCTTCCGTTCAGTTTTGCCGACAGCGCCAGACCATTTCCGTTTCTCGGGACGTCGGAATTCTAACGCAGAGGATCCCTCAGACTGTGGCCGTCTTGTCGAAAACAACGCACGAAACCCGCTCACGTAGTCGGTGCCGACAATGGTGCGGCCGAGCTCGGGCCAACACGTCCTGCCCTTCCCCCGAGACAGCGTGCTTCACCAGACCATGAAAGCCAGAAAAGTCAAAACACGTACCGCATTGGTGGGCCGAGAACATGCAAATGACAGCAAGCAGACACCCTGTCTGCCGCCCTCTTCTCGCGGCGTCTTATACGATTTCAGAACGAATGAGAACTTGGCTTCGTGCGGCCCTTTCGCAGATCGGGAGATGCAGGTTTGATTCCCTCGCCACCACACTAATACAAGTTATTCGGACTTCCTAGCTCATGATACTGTCTACAATTCGTAAAAACTCCCTTTGTCAGCAAACGGTTTGGCAAGCAACTTATTTTAAAGCCTCAAGATAAAAATATAAAAAGCAGATGAGTCGCGCCGCGCGCAACGCATGCTAAGAACACAACTTAGCAGACCACAGGCGGACCGGGACACGGTGCGGTGTCCGGCGCTCAGTCGGACGCCAGCACGTCGGCCGAGGCTGAATCTGGGGCACCTCAGGCGCACCAGTGACCTGGCTGCAGGGGGGCGCCAACTGAACCAGACTCGGCGCACTGGCAGCATGACAGCGCGGCGGCCAGTAGCGGCCGTCGGACCACGACTCAGCGGACTCGGGCCAGACCGGCCCTGCAAACGGCCTGATGCCGCATTGTTGTCATTCTTGGGGACGAGTTCAGTGCAGCGCCGCCGGAATGGGCCGGCTGGCGTCGACAGGACGGCGGGGCCAGGCAGCCGGAGGCGGACTCAGCACACCGGTCCAGCGCTGCCAGAGACGGCGGCCATGTTCGAGGCTATCAGCTGGCCATCCTGCCGCGAACTGCACCAGCGACAGCGGCAGCGACTCCTCGTGGACTTGGCGCTTCGCTGCGGCACACTTTCACGTCAGCGGAGCGGCCCGCCAGGCCGGCCCCGCTCTTCCGATTTCGGGTCACAACTCGGTCAGTGAGGTCCAGGACCGGAATTGGTCGGCCTCGCGCGCCACACACCGCCCCGTCGTAAACTCTCCATGGAGCTTGATTAAATTCGGCGTCTTTAAGGCCCCGCCAGCTGCTGGTGTCGGTGTGCGGCGGAGGGGCCGATCTAATCATGCAGCAGTGCTGCGGTCATTTGGGGTTGGTCAGAAACCCGCCCGCACTCGCGTTTCCGTTGGTGTCCTTGTAAACTACACAAGGCATAGGGTAAAGGAATCAATGCCGTAACGTCACCACTGTGACGTTGCGTTCTGTGACAGTCACAGTCTCGATACGAAGCAACTGCAAGGCGATTAAAACTCACACGCTGTACACTCGCTATGTTCATTAGAGCCCATTTTAACTCCAAATGCGGATTCGAAGACCTCCGGAGTGCGAGGGATGAATATATAGTTGTTGCCTACGGGGCGAAAGCTTTCAAGAAACCGTCGGCCCATTTATCTTCCTTTCAAAAGTCATCTATTATCCCGCACTACAGGAGAGCTACAAGACGCCTTGCATATAAACCTAGTGCATGAATTTTACCATTGGTTGGATTTAACCATTTTTGGTAGGTGCTCCGCTATGCCATACGGGTAATGTCCGCATCATGATGACGTGTTTCAACCAAGAGCTCATTTCTCGCATGTGAACAGGCAGGGCTCTCCTGTGAGCATCAGAGCCCCTGGTTAGCCACGGCCAGCGCTGCCCGAGCCTGGCGGCGTCCGCAGGACCACGGCGGGCACTTTCGCGCCAGGCGCCGCGGCGCCGGCTGCTCTCCAGCCGTCTCCCGGCCCGCGCCGCCCGGCCCCATTGATTTCTGGCCACTCGGGCGGCGGGCATGGGACGCTATCTCACCGGGGACCGGCGGGAGTGGAGCGCGGCCGCGGTGCCGCTTTATGGGAGCCGTCGGCAGCTGCGACCGCCACGCCCGGGCAGGGGGCCTTCCGCCCGTCTCTTCCCCCTCAGCGACGGAGGATCACGGGAGGAGCTCGGCTGCCCCGCCAGGGCAGGAGAAGCTCCCCGCTCGCCTCCCGCTCGCGGTGGAGTGTCACGGGAGGAGCTCGGCTGCCCCGCCAGGCAGGAGGGCTCACTGCCGCCTCCTGCCCGCGGTGGAGTGTCACGGGAGGAGCTCGGCTGCCCCGCCAGGCAGGAGGGCTCACTGCCGCCTCCTGCCCGCGGTGGAGAGTCACGGGAGGAGCTCGTTGCCCCGCCAGGCAGGAGGGCTCACTGCCGCCTCCTGCTCGGTGGAGTGTCACGGAGGAGCTCGGTTGCCCCGCCAGGCAGGAGGGCTCACTGCCGCCTCCTGCCCACGGTGGAGAGTCACGGGAGGAGCTCGGTTGCCCGCCAGGCAGGAGAAGCTCCGCTCGCCTCCCCCGCGGTGGAGTGTCACGGGAGGAGCTCGGCTGCCCCGCCAGGCAGGAGAAGCTCCCCGCTCGCCTCCTGCCCGCGGTGGAGTGTCACGGGAGGAGCTCGGTTGCCCCGCCAGGAGGGGAGGCTCCAGGCCGCCTCCTGCCCGCGAAAGGGACCACACGGAGGGGCTTACCAGCGGCCGACACCAGCTGAGTCCCGCCAGTCCCGCCGGCAAGCAGACCTTCCATCTCCTCTCGCCAGTCTTCGGCTGTCCTACGCTAGGGCGAGCCAGCTCATCAATCTCGTGTTCATACAAGCCGGTTCGCACGGGACATTAATACATGCATGGTACGCACGTCTACTGATGCGAGGGGACCAACAATGGCACTTTCGGCAGTAGTACTTTCGCCGACCTACAGCAGCTGGTGATGCTTTGCCAGCTATAATTAGCTGTACGGACTGGGACGTTGGCAAGTGTTTGAACTGCAAACATGTGTGACACGGAAAACAGTGCTGCTTTGCACTGTTTTGTAGCACCATGTGATCTTCGATTGCTAGGTTTGGAGCGCGCAAAAATTACCTCGAGCGAGCCAAAACCACGAGCCAAAAATTAGGCGCCACTCGGCATTTCCTCAAACTATGCACACATGTTACACCCGGGTGAGCGGCAAGCACTCTAAGTTTCCATCCATCCACTCTGAAGTCCTCATGATCAAAGCGGCGTGAGCAGACGACGCCCTGACATCGTCAACGCTGCCAGACGGAGCCCAATGCCTTCGAGTGGCGCTGTAACAGCCAAGTGCCATGCTGTTGCTGTTCGA